ATGAAATGAATGGTTGATGATATCGCCAGATATCTTTCAGTTGGAGTCTTATGAGACAGTTCTGAATCTTGAAAAATCTCGTTTGTAATGTCTGGTGAAACATTCAGAATCGAAATATTTTGAAAATGAAACTAAACATTTGGAACTCGAGAACAGTTTATCATGAAAGACTCTAATATCCATGTACAAGTATTCTTTTAGGTTTTCCATTACTATCAAACTTGAAATCTGAAAAGCTTTTGTTGTAACTTCTTAAGGTATGTGTATAATACTGAAAAGTCAGGTGCTTAAAATAAACTATTGAGTATCAATAAGAGTTTGTCCAATACTGAATGTGAAAATTTTTATCATTATATTTTTGGGTTATTGTGGCATATCGGAAACATTCAATATACGTAAAGACAAATATGTGATACTATGAAGTACGAACAGCACACGGTATCGTAGTTTTTTTTTGACAGTTTCAGATTGTTGAAAGTTGTTTTCTCCATTTAATTATCAATTTAAGAAGAGTTTTTATCAATATTGTATCTCATAGATCGTCATTATAGAATGGCATCGAAATGATCTAACCTGATTCATTAACTGAAAATAACATTTTCTTTACAGTTGCCCTTTGATATCACATGATAATAAAAATTGATTAATGGTTAGTAATGACTACCGTTATTTTCCGTACAGTAAACCAGACTTGATATAGTCATTTTTTGTTTGTTAATACGTGTGGTGTGTTAATCAATTTCATTTTATTATAAAGAAGTAGAGGTAAAAAGTATAAAAAGACACAATGAGTAATAGAACGCCTACGATACAACTGTATCTATCAGTGTGACTATTAGATCAGCAATATAGTAGATTATTCAATATGAATGTGTCTGAATTCATTAACATATACATATATCTGTTGATAGTGTGTGTCTGTTTTTTTTGTGCGAACTATCACTTTCTCATCAGTTTTATGCAATTCAAAATTTTAATTTGACATCATATACAAGCAAAATAGCCTTTCGAAATTTTTTCATACTAGTTTAACTGGTACTTTATCTTTCTCTCGTTTTCCTCGTGATCGTAGAACAGTGTGCTATGTATGTCTGGACACTATAAAAGAAAAGAAAAAGAAAAACAAAGGATAAGAATCACTATAAGAATCATTTATTATATTCTTACATAAGACATGACATGTAATGAAGTTAACTGCATAAATTTATCATGTGCCTTATGTTATGATTGTCAACAATCGCTCTGTTTAAATCATATTATATTACATCATAATACTTCTATTGAACGTCATTTATCATTCTATGAAATTCTTCAACCATTGTATCATAAACTACATTCAATGAGTATTGAACAATGTTATCATCAAGTATTCGAACAATTATCATTAAATCATACTTATTCAATAGATACAATTCTTCATCTTCGTTCAATACGTGAAGAACTTATAGAACAGTTAAATAAATTTAAACAAAAACAATTGAATCAATTAAAAAAAATTAGTTTTAGACTTTATGATACAAAACAAATGATTAATAATATTGAAGCAAATGATATTAAAATAAAATTAGAACAAATTCAAACATCAATTAATTCACTTGTTTATGGTATACATTTAGAAGTGTCTAAAACAACAAAACATATTCAATGTCGAAAAATATTTTATCATAAAATACAATCATCATCAGATATTAAAACAGATTTATTATTACAAAAAAGTGCTAGTTGGACAAATGGTTCTACGGAAAATTATTGGAAGAAAAAAAATGAATTAGATGAACGTTTGTCTTTGTTTTGATTTATTTCAAAAACAATACAAATCGAACCGTCTGTTTATTATATTGAAATTTTCTAAAAATCAAAAACAAAAAAAAAAAAACCATTTTAGGTCTCATCTTTGGTTTGAATTTAACTTTTTATTTCCTATGGTGATTCGAAAAGTGTCACTGATCAAATAATCACAGGAATAAAATATTGAAGTTTCTAATATATATACGTATCAATAGTATGGACAGATCGATCAAGAGCACTCTAGTAATCATCGGAGGAAGAATGACTTGATAAAAATTCTATATGAGACCTTCCGCAAATCTGATGTAGTTCAAAGACAAAAACATCGTAAAGAACCCTGAGATGTCTGATTTTGTAGAGAATGATTTACTTTACCATTATGTATGATATCACCAAATTTTATGCTCGAGTTGAAGTCGCTGAAAAACTAATGGTTAGGTTTTCTGGAAAATCCATAGTGGCTATTCTGTATTTTACCATTCTTTGTCCACTTAGCTAATATAAAACTTTTTATTTAATTCCATGCATTTCGTATTTTCTATAATCGTTCTACAACTCATCACTCCAATGACTAAAGAGAGAACAGGGATAATGTGTTAAAAGAATGTATTATCAAACATTTGTTTTCTTGATAACCAAGATCGATTATTCTGATGTCCATGGTATCATAACGTGTTTGATATGTGTTGTAATTAGAAGTTTTCAATTCTTACACGTTAAGATCTTCAGTCTATCAAAAGCATAATTTCAGTAATTTTAGAATTATGATCACAATAACTACTAACTAAAGATTTATATTTATAATCTTAAATGTATGAATGACTTTGTGGCAACAATAGGCTTTTGTCTAGCAAAGAATTATTGCAGAAGACATTATGGATAAACATTAAAATGTTGCATTTTAATATTTCTGAACTAGTGCCTGCAAAAAACAAACTAATTTACAATGTTTAAGATTTTGATGGATAGATATCAGCAGGTGTTAAATTTACAGAATGAAATATTCAATTAATATGTATGGTCATTGAATTTAAATGAACATTTCTATTTTATAAAAGAAAAAATGAATTTATAAAATAAAATTTCATTTGCTTGAAAACAGCATTTTGTCTTTGATAAATAAGTTTTTGATAGGAAACAAAAAATATGATCACATTTAAGAAATTAAAGCAGATTCAGAAATATAAATATTCATTATTATTTCTCGTTTTTAAGACGTTTGATTTA